TTTTTGGTCTTTTTGAGACAGGGTCTCCCTGTAGCCCCAGCTGGCCTGGAACTCCCTATGTAGACCAGGCTGTGCTCCGACCACACAGAGATATGTTTGCCTCTGCCTCCTGAGTGCTGAATTACGGGATTAAAGACGTGCACCACCACGCCCGGCTATAAATAAAAAAACAAAATTTAAGTATTAGAGCCTTAAGAAGTACAATTGTGTAAGAAAAATTTCTCAGTAATATCTTGAAACGGCACTTCATACAAAATGTTGCCTCAAGGAATAGACACAAGATGGTTTAAATAATAAGGCAAGTTCCATAAATTGTAAAAAATTCAGAATACCGATTTTAAATGTCTTTTCACCCAATGACCTCTTTGGGAAATTTTTACTATAACGACCCTCATAAAATCTACAAAATACACTAGTTTACTATGTAGCGATTTAATTTAAGATAAAGGTCAGCCTGGTCTGCATGATGAGTGCCAAACCAGCTGGGCTACAAGGAGACCCTTGTTTCAAAAAACAGATGATAAATGATAGATAGATGATAGATAGATAGATAGATAGATAGATAGATAGATAGATAGATAGACAGATAGATAGATAGATGATAGATATGAATCTATCTCTATATGAATTAAACACTTCAGATTTTAGGACACAGAACCACAAAAGCCTAAGTACGTCCCTCCACAGCCCCTCCCCCCATTCCCAGATATCATGCAATACTGCTAGCTTCAGAGACATTTTCCAATCCTAGGACTCAATAGAAACAATTCAGTCTAGCAAGCTTTAGATACCAAAGAATTACTAAAAAGAATCTGAAAACTTTTACTGCAGAATCGGACAAATGTCAAACTTGGAATAAATATGCTAAAGTACCCAGGGTACTCAGTTTCAAGTCACTTGCGTTTCAGTGAAGCGGCCCCAACTCACTCAACCCTTGTAACTGCTGGAAGCACAAGCCCTTCGGCCCCAAGAACCTGCAATAAGCTCTGTTCAGGTGAAAGGACACGGACTCCCAGTGACTTAATTCTATAGGCCCCCAATCTTGCTTTCCAACTGCAAAAAAGCTGGCCAAGAACCACGTGAAAAAATGTCGCAAAGATAACTCTTCAGGGCAGAATTCCCATGTATCACATGCAGCCAGCTGGAACCCTAAGATCTTAAGACTGAATTCGGTTTCCTTGGAAACTACACAAACCAGTCACTCAACCAGCCCCCTTCCTCGAAGACGGCACATCACTAGCCTGCGCATCACTAGCCCGCACCTTCCCTGCAGCTTAGCTGTGGCGACGTGCCCAAGTGAAAAACAGACCAACACAGAGTTCACCAGACACTCGGCCACAAAGATTGACAAGCTCAACAACACTCATGGGTTGCACACGGGTGGGCTCTAACTTCTCAAGATCCACGTGTCTGCTCCAGCGACGCAAACCTTGGAAGCATGGTTCTACTAATTATACCACCCTTTCTTTCAGACAATCTTCACCCATCCCTGTTTGCAACCTTTTGCCAGAAAAATAGGCATTCCCAGGGCTCAAAGAAGAGGCAAAAATTTTCACAGCAACAACCAATGCAACCAATTTCGCCCCAGTTTGGAAAACAAAAACTCCTCCATAATCTTCGAACACAGATTTCCCCAACTTAGAGGTGGTAAATACGCTTACTAATGTCCCACTTACATTGAAGGCAGAGACCTACTTGAAAATTACAACAGAAAGAAGTCCCATGAACAGAAAACTAGCTAAACGCAGGCCCACAAAGAGGAAGAAAATAACACCTGCTCTTCCCCACCTGTTTTGTCCGCCCTCAATGATGCACTTACAAATCAGAGGTCCTTTGTAAAGTTCTTGCTCCTATACAACTCACTCCATTAAATTCGCGATCTTGCCTCAATTTGACCAGAAATTACGTGCTAGAGGAGACGTTTGTACAAGTGTCAAAATGCTGGATCCAGTTCCTTAGAGAAAGCGAGATTAACGCTGTTTCCCTCCGAGATGTGAGACCCTGAAAACTGAGTACTAAATCCAAAGCGCCAAATAAACACAGATTTCAACCTACAGCAGGGCTAGAAACTGTCACGCGGATCATGCCATGCGGTGCAACACCCCCACGCACTCGAGGGCAGGGCCGCACCACGGGCGCTTCTCGCCCCGCCCGCCTCGTGGCCACTGCCTCTGGCGTCGATGTTCTCAGTTCGATGACCTACGCGGAAGTGAGGCCGGGAACAGCGCGAGGTGAACTGCGCAATCTCGCTCAAGGGTCGAAAAGCTGCACAGCTCAAGGCCCAGCCAGGCCCAGGCGTGCGAAGATCACTCTACAGAGCCCCGGTCAAGCCGTTCAAATACACAAGTGGTTCAAACTCTCAAAAAACTCCAATCGGGCCTTTACTAAAGCGACGCCCTCCACCCAGGTCGGAGAGTTACCGTGCGGGGCGTGGTTGGGCGCAATCTCGCTCAAGGGTCGAAAAGCTGCACAGCTCAAGGCCCAGCCAGGCCCAGGCGTGCGAAGATCACTCTACAGAGCCCCGGTCAAGCCGTTCAAATACACAAGTGGTTCAAACTCTCAAAAAACTCCAATCGGGCCTTTACTAAAGCGACGCCCTCCACCCAGGTCGGAGAGTTACCGTGCGGGGCGTGGTTGGCCTCACCCGGAGTCCTTCATGTCCCTGGGGGGGGGCGGGGGGGGGGCGGGTCATTCTGTTGGGTTCGCACACCTTGTGTCCGCTTCAGCTGAAGAGCCTGCGCGCGCACCGGACGTCCACGTCACCGCGCACGCGCTCCTACCCGAACGGAGCCCTCCGCGCAGGCGCAAAAGGAGGCGCGAGCAGCACCTCCCCTGCCCCTCCCCCAACACCGGGAGGCCAAACGGCCCTCGAGCTGCCACGAGACCCTTGGGATCCGCCCCCGGAACAGAAGCCGGTGCCTTCTTGCGTCTTAGCAACCCAGGAAACAACCACTGAAGCTTCTAGAATCACGCATGGTGAGGTAGAAGGGAGGTACCCAACATCCTCAGCCTCGTACTCGAAGCCTTCGTGAAAAATCTGAAACGACTGCCCAGAAGGCCTTTCTTCACAGTGCTTTTCACCCCTCCCGGGTGGCTCCTCTCCAGCCCCGCCCCTGCCGCACCCAGTCCCACCAACTCCAGGTTTCACTGACCCCCTTAGCTTTATAAGCCCATCAAAAGCACCCGAGGACTTTCTCTCTGAAGTGCTGTAGGGCTGGAAAGCGCCAGAGCGCTGGAAAACCTGGAAGCAGACACCTTGAAAGAAGAGTAATGGAGTTTTCAACGTCCACCAACAAAGAACACTAACAGATAAAGCTGGGCAGAGTGTGATGGCTCGTGCCTGTCTCCAAGGCTTTTGAGGAGGTTGAAGCAAAAGGAATGCTGCAGGTTAGAGGACACCCCGTTCCAGGACCACCTAGGCTACAGAGAAATCTTTTCTCAAAAAGAAAATAAAGGCTCGCTGAGGAGCTGGGAAAGGAAGAGGAGCTAGCACTAAACTGCCTGATAAAAAGATGAAAGGTGTCTTAAAACAAGGAAACGAGAAATTTGCCTTAAAGTATCTGAGATTTAGTGCCTTGATCCTGTGTATTTTGTTTCTTCAAAACACTGAAGCTGTAAAATGCAAAGAAACCATTAACCAACTAGAACGTCAGACAGTTGTCAAAGACAGTATTCCTCACAACCCAACACCAAAAATTAGTTTTCTTTCAACTCTACCACTTACCAGTAGTTCCTTGCTGTTAATCCTACAATAAAAAGGAGTGTTTAGAGTGAGAAAAAAAGAGATACAAAGAAGTAAATAATAGAGCAGAAATTGTAGTCAGTATTCCCAAACTTCTTTCACTCTCAGAATTAGGAAACACTTTGAACCTACTTTGTCGTAGGTGACAGTACCAAATCATATGAAGGAAAAAGAAAACAAGGAGATTTTAAGAATGGAGTCAAGAGGAAGAGGAGGTAACCAAGAACACTGATTTAACCTGCTTTTCTCTTAGGAAGAATCATCTTTCTTTGGTTTCCTCTTCCTGAGGACATACACAACATAGTAAACAGAAATTATGCTGGAATAATCTACACCAGAAAACTAAAGTTAATAAACTTCTGAAATCATTCTGAAACCCATGATTCCAGCAATGCATTGAAATATTTAGGCAAAATTGAAAAGCAACTGTTTCTTTAACACCTTCCTCTTCTCTGACTCCAAGATGCCTTCTCAAAGGTCTTAATGTTTTCTCATTTTCTGAGACTAAAATTTGTGTTTATTTAGCATTAAAATGTCTGCTCCAAAGCTATAAATTACTGGGTAGCATCCTCAAAGAGATAACCCAAATAACATCTTTATAATTGAAGAATCTATGAGAACAATTTGGATGGAAGTGGGCACTGGAAATTCTCTTTGGTAACTCTTTTTCTACTCTGCAAACAGGAAATGCCAAATACTTTTTTTTTTTTTTTAAAGAAAGGGTCTCAATATGTCGCTCTGGCTGGTCTCGAACTCACAGAGATGCACCTGCTTCTGCCTCCAGATTAAAGGCGTGCACCACCAAGCCTGGCTGGCAGATACTTTGAAAACAACTTTCACCAGTTTCTTACTGATCCTAAACCAAAATCCTAAGTTTGCTTGCCCTGACTCTGGATTTTCTTTTTCTTTCGAAGACCTCTTGCCCACCCTTTCTAGAGCCGCTTGCAGACCTCCATTGCTGATCCTAACTCAAAAAGCATGAGTTTCTTCCTCTTCTCCATCTCTATCTGGCAGCTTGCCTCCTCTGTTGTTTCTACGCCAATTCTAATAAAATTGTCCTCCAGCTTTAAAAACTTTTTAATAAAGACTCTCAAGATTCAGCACTAGATCCCGTAGTAGGTAAATTACCCATAGTTTTTCACAGTAGAGTCTGGCTTAACCTATAAAGGAAGTCGGAGACAGCCCGGCATGGTGGTGCACATCTTTGATCCCAGGACTCCGAAGGCAGAGGCAGGCGGATCTCGGTGAGTTCCAGGCCAGCTGGGACGACAGGGAGACCCTGTCTCAAAATGACCAAAAAAAAAAAAAAGAAAAGAAACTTGAGAACTTGTAAATGCTAATCTAAAATAATACAAATACAGCCAAACAGATTCCAGTGATTCAATTTTGGTTTCCAATCATCCTAATACCAAGTAACTTCTTGTTGTGAGACAGGGTCTCACTTATCCCAGGCTGGCTTTGAACTCCTTATATAGCTGAGGATGACTGAACTTCTGATACTACTGGCTCCAGCCATGTGCTACCACACTTGCTTTATGCATGCTAGGGCTTCATGCATGCTAAGCAAGCACCTTACTAACTGAACTACATCCTCAACCTCCAAGTGACTGGCTTTTCGTTTTAAAAATGTTTATTTTTTCAAGTAACTTCACAAGTGGTTATATTCTACTTTCAATCCGTGTTCCTCAAACTGAAGTACTCAGTTGTATTATTTTTCCTTTAAAAGCCATCGGTAGCCAGACAAAATGGTGCATGCTTGTAATCCTAGCTCTCAGAAACCTAAAGCAAGGAGGATCATGAATTCTCAAACTGTTTATATAATGAGTTCTAATCAGCAAGAGCCACTTGTCTCCAAAAGATAAGAAAAGGCAGATGTAACAGCTCAGTGGTAGAATGCTTGGTTTAGCATGCACAAGGCCCTGGGTTCAGTCCCCAACACTGATACTAGGTTTCCTGTACTGGAATTCTCTCCTTTATGCTTCACCCACCTACTTCATTCAACTCTAATATACAACACACACACACAAAATCTTACCCTTGATTTTCTTTCATTATAAAAAGTTTGCCTAGAATGTATACAAATTTGATCCAAGACTGCCCTATAGACACATATGGTCTATTCCATATACATGCATTTTTTTTAAAGCAGGGAAATTGCCTCCCCAGCACTGGAATTACACCTGTACCACCTTGCCCAGATTTTTATGTGGGTGTTGGTGATTAAACTCAGAGCCTCATGCTTGTATGCCAAGCACTTTACTATCTGAGCTATCTTTCTAGCCCCTACATATTTTTTTTCTATTCAACAGATACTTAAGTACCTTATGTATACTGAGGACAAGGGAAATACTGGCACTTCATACACTGATCAGATGTGTACACTAGAACTCTAAATTAGCAGAACCTAGTTAACAGAATTTATCAACATAAACCATGTATCTTATGCAATTTTTTCAGTTCGTGTCTTTTCACTTATGATTTCTACAAAGACATACCTTTTTAGCTTTATTTTTATGTTTGAGTGTTTCTCTGCATGTATGTGTGTGAATCACATGCATGCATAGTGCCCATGGAGACCAAAAGGATGTCAGAGCCCCTGAAGCTGGAATTGCAGACATTCATGGGCAACCACGTGAGTGCTAGGAACCAAACCCAGGTCTTCTGCAAGAGCAGCAAGTGCTCTTAATTGCTATGCCATCTCTCCAGCCCTCAAATATGCCTTTTTAAATACCCACAAGAAAAAGAAGCCAGGCATGGTGGCACACGCCTTTAATCCCAGCACTCAGGAGGCAGAAGCAGATGGACCTCTGTGAGTTCAAAGCTAGCCTGGTCTACATAGCAAGTTCCAGGCCAGCAGGGGCTGCAGTGTAACCCAAATACCTCATTCCAGATAAAACCATCACTACCCCAATGGAAGGGAAAAAATCCACAAAGTTGTCCTCTGACCTCCACATGCGGACCATGGCTCATAAAACCACCCACCACATCATGTACACACATACAATAATAAATTTATTGTTAAAAAAAAAAAAAGCCAGGTGGGGTAGCACATGCCTTTAGTCCCAGCACTCGGGAGGCAGAGGCAGGTGGATCTCTATGAGTTTGAGGCCAGCCTGGTTTACATAGCAAGTTCCAGGACAAAAAAAAAGGAAGAAATATCAGGGTTGGAGAGATGGCTCAGCACTGGCTGTTCTCACAGAGGATGTGGGTTCAA